AGTTTATGTTGTTTTGGTTCTTGCTATGTTTCCAAACATTCATTTGTAATCGCTAATCCCCTTCCACATAGGGGATTATAGGAATGTCTTTCGTCTGTCAGTCCATCAGTCAGTCCCTCCGTAACACTTTTGTGAACGCTCCACAACTTTTAAACTGCTGAAAATTTTTTTGATTTAACTTTGCACAAATGATCACTATTATGAGACGATGTGCAGAGCGCAATAATTGGGTTGCTACCCCCAAGGTCAAGGTCATACTGAAAGGTCAAGTATTAAAATTCTACAATTTGTGTCCGCTCCATAACTTTTAAACCGCTGAAAATATTTTGAAATAACTTGGCACAAGTGATCACCATTATGAGACGATGTGCAAAGTGCAATAATTGGGTTGCTACCCCCTAAGATCAAGGGCACACTTAAAGGTCAAGTGTTAAAAAGTCTACATTTTTTGTCTGCTCTATAACTTTTTAACCACTGAAATTTTTTAAAATAATTTGGCAGAAATTATCACCATTATGACATGATGTGCAGGACCCAACATCCAGGTTGCTTCCCCCAGGGTCAAGATTAAATTTTCTCCTTAACTTCTTGACTTTATGGAAGATTTTAAATAACTTGGCACAAATAATTGCTATCATGAGACTATATGCTTATACATGGCACAACATCAAGGTCTTGGTCTGTTAAATGTCAAGAAGTACACATTTATGTCTGCTGCAGAAGGGGATTTAGCTGTCCTCCTGACTGCCTTGTTGGTTTAGTTTTAGATTGCACTGCACCAACACAGTATAGGTCATATGGCGATTTTTCATCTTTTGTTGGTGGAAGAAGACCTCAGGTGCCCTTCCATGCATTATTTCAGGTACAGACGAACATCAGAGTAAAACCACCAATGTTCCGTAAGCTTACATGAAAACAAATCCACCAATGTCCCTGTCAGGATTGGAACCCACAGCAGTGAGGGGCAAGTGGTTTGAAGTTAACAACCTTAACCCATTGACTATGGATGTCCGATAAACAGATTAATAAAACATAAACCTATATGCCTAGTTTTTATAAAGCTCATGTAATGTTTAGTCTGGCGATAAAGTTTGGTAACTTTTTATCATGTATGTTTAAAACATGACTAGTCTGTTTGGTTGAAATATATTCTTAAAAGAAAAAAAAAATAAAGGGAAAGAAAAGAAAGAAAAAAAGGCATGGAATGATACATAGCAACTGCTGAACTTTAACTAATGATTTCTCTCATGCTACAGATCTGATTGTCATTCACTGCCTGGGCTTGTATAAGTATTGAAAACATTATATCTCAACTCTTGTATAAGAGATGGGCACTGATGAAGTTGGATCGAATATTCATATAAGCACCATTATGTATGCATAATTGATAAGGTCAATAAAATATTATAAAGAAATAATGGAGAAAATTTGTAAATTTGATTAAAAAAGGAGGTCTTGAATTTCAAAGAATGTAGGGTTGTTTGACAGTTTTAGTAAATATAAAGAAGTTTGAGGCTTGACCCATTACAAAGAATGCAATATCAGATTGTAAAACTGTCATTGTCTTAGAAATAGAATTAATAAATGCCATTAGTTTTATGTATGGTACATGTATATCTGAAACCATGACTGGATTATTTTTTATTTTGTAAGTAAGATACTAAAACATCTTTAATAAAACAGATATATTTTCATTTATTTTTTATAACTTTTTTTTTGTTTGAGAAAGTAGCTATACACCATCTAATATTTATTTACTTATATTCTCATTATTACAAAGCATAATGTGCTATGAGCCACTGGAAACATTCTGTTTTAGCACTTACAAACACATTAGCACCCTTCTTTTACTATTATGGATAAAATCTATATTTCTGTCATTGCATGTAAATTTTTATTAGCACCTTATTCACCATCAATTTTTAGCTCAACTAAATGTGGGCCAATCCTTCTCACCCTTACATTGACTAAACAATAATTCTGTTAAAGAAATGCCTGAGATTTCTTGTACAACATCTTATCTCATTAATCATAAAAGATATTTGTTTGATGTTTCACTCATGTATTTGAGATCTTGATAATGGAAGTCACTATTCAGGGCCCATCACTCTAAAATAGATTTTGTTTGAATAATTTGGCCCTTGTGAACTTAGAAAATTCCTGTTAAGCAACAGTTCTCAAACCTACTGAATGTGTTCACTTGAACTTCAGAATCATAATTTGAATTTTTATTCTCTTCATTGGCTTGCATTTGCTACAAAAAAATGGCATGGATAGAAATTGATGTGACATGTTTTACAATATGGTAGTTTTGTTATTCAGTGGAAATCATATTAAAATGCTACCTGTGTGTGACAGAATGTAAGGAAGACTTTAATACCATGACAACTGTCAAACAAATTACTAGTGCCAGTATTTTATATTCTACCATATGTGATCAGGTAGCAGCTGTACTGGTCAAATTATTGATTGTAAAATGTTATCAGTTTCTTGTGTCACTATGTATTAACCAGGATTTATTTCTACCACAAGGTAAATGATATCTGTATATTTATTGTTGCTGAAAAGAAAAAAAAACAGAGTGGATGTTCCATTACTTTGTGAAATATAGCAGATGTTGATGTTGTCAGCTGATCGTTCTCATTGAGTTAGTGAAATATTGACTAATTGTTATAAACATTTTCAGACTGGAAATTTCAGATCTTAAATGTGACAAACATTAATTCATACACATACTTTACTGGTATATATTCATGGTGATCATTTGTTACTGGTTGGTGACCATCACTGGCTTTTGACTGAATTATAAGTTGCCCAGATTAAATCGTGCATGCAAGGTCAGTCTGTAGTTGTTTCAACCAAGTTAAATAAAACATTGACCAGTAATAGAAGTAATGGATAAAATCATTAATGGACTCCAAAGTTATTGTCCTTTAAAGGGCCAAAATTAAAAGTTTTAAGAAAATGTTCTGTGTCAAAAAACCACATAGGAGGCCATTGTTTACAATATGATGGCCTAGTAGACCTTTATAAAATAAATATTTTTTTAAACAATGGCTCTTTAGTCCAAAGTCCATTAATAGACATAATTATACAAAAACAATACATTTAAAAAAGATGTTTGTGTTGATAAACTACCTATTTAATGCCTTATCCTTTCAAAACATTGACAAAATGTAAGATATATATATGTTATTGCCTACAAGTTAGAACTTATTATTAACTGTTTTAGTAAACTAGTTTGTATTTTCAGTGAGTGGGGGTTACAACTTGTCCCTGTATTATCATTGGGGGTTAAGTTAATCAAAGGACAAGAAATTTGTAGCTGTTTTTATTAAACATCCTTAGATTGTACATACTTAATTAAAATATTATTTCTCCCTTCAATTCTTTCCATATATAAATTGCAGTATTTCATGTAAATAATTAAATATCATTTAACTATTGAACAGACCTAGATAGTTTTTTTAGAGATTATTAATTAATACTGAACACATTACTGATTTTTATTATGTTATTTTATTAGACATCTTACCATTAAAACTCTTAATATCTGTAATTTGAATACTTAATTTTCTCTTGATAAATATTTTGATTTAGAGCATCATTTAAACAAAACGAGGTCAGCCAGTAATTTTCATAACTGAAACAAATAGAAAATGTCCTTTTCTCAGCTAAACTTTTTGTATTCATTGAAAAAAATATACAAAAGAATTTTTTTCATTTGAAAGGACACATTTCATCATTAACTTATCATTTGAGATAAGGTCACCAAGGCTTAAATAGATATTTTTATCTTTAGTTGTAGAAACTTTATTCTTTCATATAAACTGGGCATGCAGGAGGAAAAAAAAACTGCATTAATAGGATATAAGCATGCACCATGTACATTGTTGTTTTTTTATATGCCTGACTCAGGGCACCATGTAACAAAAGCTAACTGCAATAATGGCCCTGGTTATTGCATAATCAAAACATTACTTGCAAATGACATTACAGTTACACTTGAAATGCAGGATGCGACAGTTATGGACTTGAGCTTTAAATACATTCTTGTACTCATGCAGATACTTATGCATTTAAAAAGATGCATCAACCCTCTATTAATTAAATGTCATCCGATATTTTATGCGTGGTACTTTGCTTGAACTTTTACCTGAAGTCCCTCAAGGCTTTACATGTATATATTTTTTTCAACATTACATTTTGGTATAATGACAAAATTGACATTTCCCTTGACACCCCTGGATAGTCTTTTTCAGCTTAGTTAAGTTTACAAAACTCAATTACAAATTGGTCTCAGATGAGATGTGGTTATAGGTAACAGCTAATTGCATTTTGTATTTTTTGTTGACTTAACTTTTTTTTCATCCATGTTAATACCAAATTACAAGACAGCATATCTAATGTAAAAGCATGTTCTAGAGGTTATAAGAAAACCAGATGTTCAACTGAATTCCAACAGCAGTTGTTTCATAATTCAGTGACGCACAGAATGATGGTTTGGTATGAAACAACATTACCAGTATTTAGGTAACTGTCAGAATGTAATTTTTTTGCCAGTTTTATTTATTATGAAGGTAATTTTGTGAGGTTACTACACAATCTGTTTTATCTGTGATAACTTGATGGTTACAAGTGTTTTCATTAGCAGATGTTTGGGACTTGGTTTCGAAGAATGTTCATGATTTTAGTCATTATTTGGTTTACTTTGTTTGACAACCTGTTGGGTATTTGAGGTTGAAAGAATTATTGACTAGGATTTAAGGCATATTTGAATTTTCCATGTAAGCGACATAACTGTAGATAAACTTACTCTATGTTGCTATTCATGATGTAGAGTGGGACTTACCTGTTGGCTGCCTGTTTCTGTACTTATTTTGAAAAGTAAAGTTTACATTATTGCATTTGTATTGTTTTAAAATATGTTACTAGATTGTATAATATTCTATTGTTTTACTGTTATTTTCAAGCTGTGTTTAATTTGGGTTTTTTTCCAGATGAATCAGAAGTGACAGACAAAGGTGAAGGGGACGCCGATATGCAGGGGAAAAAACGGCCCTTTCCTGGGCCCCAGGGCAAGAATGCTAAACGACTCAAAGCTCAAGCTCAGCCAAAGAATGCATTGATGCATCTGTATGAATTGAAACCAGGTTAAGATTTGATACTTTTAATTTTATATCCCCGTTTAAAAAGTGGGGAGCATACTATGTTGGATGGTCTTTACATGTTTGTTTGTACATCAGTTCCTATGTCCAATCAGTAACTTAACAAGGCATAAGACTGAGTAGAGACATTACCCATCGCTAGTAGATAACCGCTGACGATTTTGAGGTCATTAGATCAATGTCACAGTTACACTTTGTGTAAAATCCTTGTCTTATTGAGAAAAAGTTTGTAAAGCTTGGTATGGCCATTTCCCATTGGCAGTAAGTGACACCAATTGATTTTAAGGTTAGAACTAGAAATATTGTACAAAATATTTAAGGAAAATTCGTTTGATATATATGATTAAAGCCAACTTAACTATGATAATGAGTTTAAGAAGATATATGCTAAGTCTTTTCTCCATCCTTGCGCCAAAGAAGGAGATGTTAAGGATGTAAAGTTAATTCATTAATGTACAACAACATTGTATCAAGATAATATGACCGTAGAATTTCCTTCATAATTTAAAGTGTGGAATGAACATACATCTTGAAAATATTAAAATATGGAAGTACAGCAAGGTTCTGTCAGTCAACTAACTCTAAGCAAATATTGTCTAAATATCTTGAAATTGTGTCTTAATTTGATTATTATCCTTAAAGGAAAATTTTCAATTTTAGTTGTTTATTCCTGGGAGAGTTCTTAGGTTAAATTCAATTACAGGCCGAATGATGGGGCAGAGTCTAAAAATTTACTCTGTAAAAGCTTGTGGAAGGTGTTTGAAATTCTAGACTTCCTTATCAGATATCTCATAAGTTAAGTTTACTGAAGGATGGTTAACAGATTATTGAAGGAGACTCACAGGTTATTGTAACTGAACATAGAATATATAAAGGTGATAATACTGGGTAAAAATCACTTAAAAGTCAGGCCTATAACTTGTCAACTGTGTTATTAACATATGATTATGCCATTTAAAAAGATATTTTTCTTCGATGACTGAAAAAAATCACAGATAAGGACCAATATTTTACTAAAAATATTAAGCACTGAACAAGTCCTAAAATTGTAAAAAAAAAAATTTCCTCAAGTATTCCAAACACATTTTGCTGATTTATGTAAAATGGGAACAGTGTCATGTGAATGGGGAAGTGTAGGCGCCTGAGTATTTCAGAGTCAGTTAGAAAAAAAGAGATGAGAATAATATAGGCATAATTCCTGCCAGTTAGTATAGGGATTATTCATCTTGTTTTATTTGGAAACAAATAATGAAAAGTACTGCAAATGTTCTTAACATATTCTTTATAAGTGTTTCTCACATAGAGAGGTTAACCTATGCATATGTCGATTTAAAAATTAGCAAAATATGATTCTTTCTGTAAAAAAAAAGGCAATGGATAGTGGTCAAAATTTAAGATACAAAAAAGTGTAAGGTTCCATTTATGGTAATATTCATTTGAAGATGGTGATTTATGTATGCCATATTCTTATATAATTGTGGTATGTCAGCATAAAAATTTAACCTAGCTTTTGAGAATATAATGTTTTTAGCTCGACTATTCGAAGAATATGAGAGCTATTGTAGTCGCCCCGGCGTCGGCGTCAGCGCCCGCGTCGGCGTCTGCGTTGGTTAAAGTTTTTTGTAAAGTCAAATATCTCAATTATTACTTGAGATATTCAATTGAAACTTACAATACTTATTTATAGTAACAAGGTTCATCAGGTTGACAATTTGGATAACTCTGCCTACAATATTGACAGAATTATGCCCCTTTTTAACTTAGAAATTTTGGTAAAAGTTTTTTGTAAAGTCAAATATCTCAATTATTGCTTGAGATATTCAATTGAAACTTACAATACTTATTTATAGTAACAAGGTACATCAGATTGACAAGTTGGATAACTCTGCCTACAATATTGACAGAATTATGCCCCTTTTCAACTTAAAAATTTTGATTAAAGTTTTTTTGTAAAGTCGAATATCTCAATCATTGCTTGAGATATTCAATTGAAATTTAAAATACTTTTTATAGTAACAATGTACATCCGTTTGCAAAATTGCATAACTCTGCCTGCAATATTTGCAGAATTATTTGCCCCTTTGAAACTTAGAAATTTTGGTTAAAGGTCTTCAAAGATATTTACTTGAAACTTTACACATGCACTTAGGGTCATAATTGGAGGGTCATAATTGTATGCCACTGACCAAGTTCCATAACTCTATCTTGCATTAAGGCTGATTCATATCCCCTTTTCTACTTAGTCTCTAGGTTAATGTTTACATGCAAGTTTTACATATCTCAATAACTATTAAAGATATTTATTTAAAACTTCACATATGCATTTAGGGTCATAATTGTAGGTCACTGACAAATATCCTTAATTCTATCTTGCATTTAGGCTGATTTTTCTCCCCTTCTTCAACTTAGAAATTCATGGTAATGTTTTGCTTGTAAGCTGTTCATGGTAAAGTTTTGCTTCTAAGCTGTTAACTCAGTAACTACTGAAGGGTTTGTGCCTTTTTTGGGACAATTTTATGCATTCATAATAATAAAGCAGTGATTTACTTGATAAAACATCTTAATAACAAGACTTTGTACATTTTCTGTCAAATTTATGTATTCATAGGTAATTAGTATTATTATACTCAATAAAACACCCTTGTGACATTACCTTCCAAATTGTCAAGCCAATACTGTATAATTAGACTCTCCCTAAGGCCTATAACATGAATTAATAAAAAAAAATTAGCCCTTTTGTGAACTTAAAAAATTTAACATTATCAAGACTCTTTTACTATAATCAAGCACTTAGAATAGTCGAGCGTGCTGTCCTACCGACAGCTCTTGTTTTAAATATTGTTGACCAGTATGATGACTAAAGTAATTAAACATTTTATTGTCTGTATAAACTGACTAAAATTGTTAAGGATATAAAACAGCAAAATAAAAAAGTAAAATTATTATAAATCCTATTTCAGGTATTCAGTATACTGTGGTTTCACAGACCGGCCCAACTCATGCTCCAGTATTTACCATGTCAGTTGAAGTAAATAATCAAGTTTTCACTGGACAAGGAAATTCTAAGAAAGCAGCCAAGTTATCTGCTGCGGAGCAGGCACTCAAATCATTTGTACAGTTTCCAAATGCTTCTGATGCTCACGCAGCCCTTGGACGTCAGCCTCAGATGAATGTTGACTTTACTTCTGATAATCCTGAAGTGTTTATTCAGAATTTTGAAGGTGCAGATGGTATAGATAAATCAATTGCTCAATCACAGTCCCAGAATGGTAATGGTCTTGGTGTGAATGCTGGGAAAAAATCTAAAGCTCTACAACATCATGAGGGCAAGAACCCTATAATGATCCTCAATGAACTCAAACCAAACCTCAAGTATGAGTGTATGTCAGAAACTGGTGATAAACATTCTAAAACATTCACAATGGCCGTGACTGTTGATGGGGAAACATTTACTGGAACAGCCAAAAACAAAAAGCTGGCGAAGGCAAGAGCGGCCCAAGCTGCTCTAGCTAAAATCTACAATCTTACATTCTCATGGGGACCTGGTAAGTTTTTTCTTTTTATTATTTACATTAAGTAAGAATAAATTACTGAGTGGCGTGATGCTAATGTAGAAATGTTTCTCAAAGGAACTGATTTGCAAAACGTGTTTTATCTTTTGTCTGTATATTTTACTACTGCTGTATATGTAATAAGTCTGCATATTAATACTGTATAGAAGGCTATTTTAGCGGAGACAAACATTGGTGTTTTTTATGTCTCTGAAGAAAGACATATAATAATTCAACTGTCAGATTTGTAGTCTATCTAAACTTTTAACATTTTGAGGATGTTTTACTTATACCAATTGCTTAACACTACACACTTGCTTACCAAGACAAAAGCCATAAAACTATCAAGTTAAATAACTGTTTTATTCATTTCCCACAGTTACTTTAAAAGCAGCATAACTTGAGATGAGTAAAATAACACTTCAAAAATCAAACTTAAAAATATTTATTTATAGTAATAGTTATATAGTCCAGGCACATCTTGGAATGTTTCATGCAAAACACGGCAAAATTTATTTCTATATCCAAATTTAACCCTGTTGCTAATGGAGTAAGACAAATTTCTGCATAATTTGACAACTTATAGTAAATGCCATAGGCTAGTTTATATTACTTAATTTGTAAACTTACTTACAAATACAAAACCATTTCATTTACATACATTGAAAGGTATGGTTACTGTTTTTGACAAAGTCAAAGTTGATATATCATGATTGTGCAAGGGTGACAATATTATAGATGATGTCTTTATTTTATTACTGAGATAATGGCACTGATGGAAAAACTATTTTTCTCTGACAATCATTAATGAACTCGGAAGCAAATAGCATACTTGTGACAAGAGACATCACTTTAAGGCAAAGTAAATTACTGTAATATAAAGGAAGTAACTGTGAAATTAGCAGACATACATAATGATTAAAGATTATCCTGCTGAAACCTAAAGTGATTAGCCTTTGTCTATAGAGTATAGAGCTAGGCCAACTTTCAATTGTTATCTAAATTTTCCCAAAATACGTAATTGATGTCCCTCAAATTTATAATAGACAGTTCATAAACATGTTAAATCTAGAATCTCTATAACAGCATTAGATGTGCTTTTATTCTATTACAATGGTGCTTTTGTTCATTGATATTTGAAATCATCTCTCTACTTGCAACCTCAACTTTATTGTACTGACGGTAGAAAATTTTACAATAATCTACTAAAACTATGTTAATAAAAAAAGTAAATATAATAATTATGTGCATAAACTACTCATTACAATATGACTGGTATTTTGAGACTTGCTTCTTTCACTTGTTCTATGTGTAAATTTTAAATCATATGAATAGAGGTTTGTAAAAATGTGTATTATTCACCTATTGATTTTCTTTTCCTGAAAGCAACACTATTAATTATTTCCCATTGACAACTGTTTACCACAGATAATCTTACAAACACAATCTCATATTATTTTGTATTCTTTATTTCTGCATTGTCATTCGTAACAGCAGATTTAGTGAAAATTAAAGCTCCGCATGAAATTCCTACTATACAGTATTAATTTTATAAGACATCAGGTGTGAATAAAACGCATTTATAGATTTAGCAAGGTACATAATTGGTTTCTAGGAGTTGAGGGCAAGACATCTTATACATGGTCTATAGTTTACAGAAATTATTTATTTATAGACTCCAGATAACTTCCTCTTAATCCTTATTTTATTGAACAAAGAATATGTTTTGGCTATAAATACACAGTTTTAATTGTATGAGAAGGAAATGAAATAAAACTACAGGGATGTAGAGACGGTTAAAGCTTATAAAGGTTATAAATAAATTTACCAAAATAGAACTGTTCTATTTAGAGTTGTTTTTTTCTTTCGCACCAACACTGTATACGTCATATAGTGACATTCCAGTTTTATTCTTGGAGGAAGACCTCAGGTGCCCCTCTGTGCATTTTCAGGCACGAAAGGACACTTGAGTACCACCATATGATGTCTTCTTCCACCAATAAATCTGGAAAGTCTCAATATGACCTGTAGTGTTGGCACAATGAAAAACCCAACCAAAAAAAAAAAAAATAGTAACAACACTTAATATCAATCGGATACTTAACAAAAAGTCATGACAAAAGTTGTACAAGTCCGTCAATTCGGGTTTCAGCAGGACAAAGGGTTAAAAGAGATTCCTGTTGCTTGGTAATTTCTAAGTGTTCTCTATTAATGCAGAAATAATATCTGTTTAGAAGTGACATACCTTAGGGATTACTTGTCCAGTTTTGCTCAGTTGATGTTTGAATTATTTTATCCTTAACTGGGATATTGGCCTGTTAAATGTACAGATCTGGAACTAATTGCTGATCTGGGAAAGTAGAAGATAGAACTAACTAAAGTGAATTAGGAATGGGAATACCACATGTTATCCTCACTATAAAATATCATCTACATGTAATGGAACATATATAATGGAACATTAAACAGTCTGTCCGCAATACCCACTCAGGCTTACAGCATAAAGTCTAATATTTCTCGACAAACCATGGAGATATTTCTGTCAAACTTTATTTATTATGTATTATTTATGAAAAAAAAGCAAATGAAAATATCATGCATGCCTTCAGTCTTCTTAGAATTTTTTTCCTTTTTATATGCCCGAAAGAGCATATAATGTTATACCCCCTGGCGGACGTACCAACTTTTGATGTTAATGAGGCAAATCAGCTCATAAACACCACCTGGACCAACGTCCATAAGCAAAATAAGCTCATAAAAACAAAAAAATAGCTCTTAATTTGAATTTTATGAGTTTTTGTTCTTTATTTAACTACAGAATGAAGCTCATAATAATCAAATGTTCGTCCGTCTGTCCGTCCGTCTGTCCGTTAGCAATTTGGTTTCCGGAGCATAACTTTTATTCTATTTGGCCCACAATGCTCAAACTTCATAGGATGATTGTCCATATTGGTTAGAAGAACCTTATTGATTTTGGGGTCAAAAGGTCAAGGTCACTATTACCTTAAAACTGAAAACAGTTTCCGTCCGTTAGCAATTTTCTGTCCGTTAGCAATTTGGTTTCCGGAGCATAACTTAAGTTCCATTTGGCCCACAATGTTCAAACTTCATAGGATGATTGTCCATATTAGGTAGAAGACCCCTATTAATTTTGGGGTCAAAAGGTCAAAGGTCAAGGTCACTGTTACCTTAAAACTGAAAACAGTTTCCGTCCGTTAGCAATTTGGTTTCCGGAGCATAACTTAAGTTCCATTTGGCCCACAATGTTCAAATTTCATAGGATGATTGTCCATATTGGGTAGAAGACCCCTATTGATTTTGGGGTCAAAAGGTCAAAGGTCAAGGTCACTATTACCTTGATACTGAAAACAGTTTCCGGAGCATAACTAAAGTTCCATTTGACCCACAATGTTCAAATTCATAGGATGATTGTCCATATTAGGCAGAAGACCCCTATTGATTTTGGGGTCACAAGGTCAAAGGTTAAGGTCATTATTTATAACTTAAGTATTAATCAACCTACATCTGTAAAATTTTATAGGATGAACAGCTAATTCCCATGTCTTACAAATGCTTCATCCTTACTAAAAAAAAAACACTTTCGGGCATATATTGCTCTACCTAGCGGTGCTCTTGTTTTAATTTTTCAGGACTCAATTTATATTTGAAGTCAATAAACATTATAGAGTAATGCAAAAGTTAAAAATAGAATTTTGACAACATTTTTTTTTAGTTTTTGGTTATATCATGGGTGGCCCTTTCTACTTTATTTATAAAGATGACTCAATTACCAAGTTTTACTTTGTAGAAAATTTTATCTTATCCTAATGCAACTGGTGCTTGAGGTAAAATTTTATTGTTGTAGTTATTGGCCTGGTAATGTACAGGCAAAGTTATTATCCTTCACTATTTTTGTAATGTTAATTTCTCTAGGACCAATGGAGTTATTCTTGCTATTTATTTAATTGTATCGTATGATTAGAAATTTTGTACTGTTCGATGGTTTGACTTGTAATGTTTTATTTATGTTACAGGAGCTATGCCTGTTAACAACACAGAGAGTGGAGAACCACCTTCAGCATTAGCAGACCATGTTGCCAAGTTAGTACAGGGCAAGTTTGCTGAACTTACTGATGACTTGAAGAGTCAGTATGCACGGAGAAAAGTGCTTGCTGGTATGGTGATGACACGTGGTGAGGACCTGTCACAGTCAAAGGTGCTATGTGTATCAGCGGGAACAAAATGTATAAATGGCGAGTACCTCAGCACTAGCGGGTTAAGTGTAAATGACTTTCATGCTGAAATTTTAGCACGCAGATCAACTATAAGATTTCTGTATTCTCAACTGGAAAAAATGGCTTCCAATGACCCTTATCAGATAGAAGACTCTGTGTTTGAGATGTGTGAGAAAGGTTGTAAGCTTAAAGATGATGTAAAATTCCACTTGTACATCAGTACTGCACCATGTGGTGATTCCAGAATATTTTCTCCACATGAGATTCAGCAAGGAAGTGAGAATGAAGGGGGAGATAAACATCCTAATAGAAAGGCCAGAGGTCAGCTTCGAACAAAGATAGAGTCTGGAGAGGGGACGATTCCTGTCAGAATGGCAGTTGGTGTGCAGACCTGGGATGGAGTCATACAAGGAGAAAGGCTGTTAACTATGTCCTGCAGTGATAAAATTGCTCGTTGGAACCTTCTTGGCATTCAAGGTGAGTTTTAGAAAGGGAATTTTATAAATAATAGTAAACTCTGCTACAGAGCATCAAGTCACTATATCACTTTCTGCATAGCTTAAACCCAAATGTTGCTAAATCTATTATCTTTAGACCGCTTCCGTGGTCGAGGGGTTAGAGTCGATGACTTCTACTTCAGGTACCTCTCTGGCGTGGGTTCGATCCCCGGGAGATGCTTTGGTAGTTTAGCGCGGAGGAAGGTAGTCTAGTACTGGTGTAACTCTCCAGGAACGATGGTTAGGAAACTACCCGCCTATATGACTGAAATACTGTTGGAAAAAGGCGTAAAATTAAACAAACAAACAAACAAATATTATCTTTAGTATATTCACTGCATTATATAGGTAACTGGCAGGGATTAACTTATTTGTCAACTTATTTGTATCACTGTAAATAGAATATCTTTGTATATGATATCATAGTAAGTGGAGTTTACCATGTATGTTAATTATGTTCTTCTTCAAAGAAATGGAGATATATTGCTTTGCCATGTGTTGGTCCTCTTGTATGAAGACCACAATAACTAGTCAGTGATTACACCACTGGGTGCTTCAACTTTGCCTTCTTTCCATTAGACTGTCTGGACAGTGATCCTGAAATAACTTAAAATGTAATTAAGTAATGTTGATAACATTTGGAATGTGGATAAGTAACAATATTTTAATTGTTAACATACTTTTGTTTGTTTAACTTTTCGTAGAATATTTTTTTTGACTATTGTCATGACCCTTCCACTGGCATTGGTTTAATTATGTCTCCCCCACCTCGGGGGGAGACATATTGTTTTTGCCCTGTCCGTCCGTCAGTCCGTCCGTCCGTCAGTCCGTCCGTCCATTCTTCGTTTCCGGACGATAACTAGAGTTCCTTTTGACCTACAGCTCTCAAACTTCATAGGATGAATGGTCTTATTGAGCAGATGATCCCTATTGTTTTTGGGGTCAGTAGTTCAAAGGTCAAGGTCACAGTGACCGTTGGTCAATTTCTCGTTTCCGGATGATAACTAGAGTTCCTTTTGACCTACAGCCCTCAAACTTCATAGGATGATTGGTCTTATAGAGCTGATGATCCCTATTGTTTTTGGGGTCAGTAGGTCAAAGGTCAAGGTCACACTGACCGTTGGTCAATTTCTCGTTTCCGGATGATAACTAGAGTTCCTTTAGACCTACAGACCTCAAACTTCATAGGATGATTGGTCTTATTGAGCAGATGATCCCTATTGTTTTTGGGGTCAGTAGTTCAAAGGTCAAGGTCACAGTGACCGTTGGTCAATTTCTCGTTTCCGGATGATAACTAGAGTTCCTTTTGACCTACAGCCCTCAAACTTCATAGGATGATTGGTCTTATAGAGCAGATGATCCCTATTGTTTTTGGGGTCAGTAGGTCAAAGGTCAAGGTCACAGTGACCGTTGGTCAATTTCTCATTTCCGGATGATAACTAGAGTTCCTTTTGACCTACAACCCTCAAACTGGGGGAGACATATTGTTTTTGCCCTGTCCGTCCGTCAGTCCGTCCGTCCGTCAGTCCGTCCGTCCATTCTTCGTTTCCGGACGATAACTAGAGTTCCTTTTGACCTACAGCTCTCAAACTTCATAGGATGAATGGTCTTATTGAGCAGATGATCCCTATTGTTTTTGGGGTCAGTAGTTCAAAGGTCAAGGTCACAGTGACCGTTGGTCAATTTCTCGTTTCCGGATGATAACTAGAGTTCAATTTGACCTACAGCCCTCAAACTTCATAGGATGATTGGTCTTATAGAGCTGATGATCCCTATTGTTTTTGGGGTCAGTAGGTCAAAGGTCAAGGTCACACTCTGGAAGGAGCTTTTCAACCTGGAATGTTTTATGTAGCTCTCAGTCGTGTCACATCTTCTTCTGGTCTGCACCTTTTAGAGGACCACTTCAACCTTGACGCAATATATTGTGACCCATCAATACAAAACAAATTGTCTCATATGCCAGAGGCTAACACATTACCAGGATGGAATTCTCTTGAACCAGATCAAGGTTTTGATCATACCAACCATATGTATATTGCAAGTCACAACTGCGAAGGCTTACTACCACATCTTCAAGAATTTACCTCCAATCTGTTCCTTCAACATATGGATATCATTGCCCTGCAAGAAACCTGGATGAACCAGAATTCTACATTCAGAAATCCCCTCCAGACCTATAATGTAGAATTACAGTGTCGAGATTATAATAATAATCATCTGAATACATTGGACACTAATCAGTCAACTGTTAAAGGTGGTGTAGCCCTCTTCATTCATCAAGACTTTGCTTATGAACGAATACCCACGGATGCATGTGGAATCGAGTGTGTTGCTGTAAAACTTTTAGCTAAACAACTGTCTGTCTACTCTGTATATAAACCTCCGTCATTGCCGATTAACTTGTTCCTTCAAAAGCTTACCCTTGTCTTGGAAAATTCACCAACAGAAAACTGCATAGTTCTAGGAGACTTCAACATTGACCTCATTCAATATTTAGAACATCCATTGACCCACACTATGTTACGACATCGCTTTAAACAAATAATAAACAAGGCTACTACAGCACACAACACACTTATTGACCATATCTACCAGAGAGGCTTCATTGTGAAAACGAGTGGAGTCATCCCAACACACTACAGTTATCATGATTTTACATACATTGTAATTTGAGTTGTCTTTCAATAGTGTAAAAAAATCTGACAATATGAACGTTTGTTTCAAGTATCATCAAAATCCTTTAAAGGTTTGAAGAATTATGGAGCAGACACAATTTCCTTTAATTTCATTTGTGAAACTATATATGATATGACATTCAAGTGTCAAGTAGACCTTGACCTTGGAACCAGCCATACGAAACATGTACTCTACACGTTCTCTGGATGTGGTGAATTTTTGTTTCAAGTATCTACCAGAGAGGCTTCATTGTGAAAACGAGTGGAGTCATCCCAACACACTACAGTTATCATGATTTTACATACATTGTAATTTGAGTTGTCTTTCAATAGTGTAAAAAAATCTGACAATATGAACGTTTGTTTCAAGTATCATCAAAATCCTTTAAAGGTTTGAAGAATTATGGAGCAGACACAATTTCATTTAATTTCATTTGTGAAACTATATATGATATGACCATCAAGTGCAATTTCGTTTGACGCCCGCCTGCCATACGCTGATTGAATAACCAGGATTTTCAAAATTGAATACCTGGTTAAAAACAAACAGTTTAGGAAGCATCTTCTCATACAACCTTAACAATAGAAACCATCCATAGACAGCCTTCATTGAAGTGACTACCGGGTATTTACATTATCTTATCTCCATTTCCATTCCTGTTTCCATTCACAGTTATTCTCAGCAGTGGGGGAGACATGCGCTTTTTTACAAAAGCATCCTCTAGTTTATTGTAAAGGTCCATGTCCTCAGAAACTTTCAAAATATTTGCTTTAAACTTGGTATGATTGTTTGTTATCAAAATGGGACACAATTTTAAAAGGGTGTGTAATCCTAGAATTTATTATTATAAGCATACATACTAACATGGGGTTGGTCAGAAAGTCTGTCGGTACACTGACATGATGGGAGAATGTGAAGACATCTGTGTTCTTAAGAAAGTTTTGGTTTGACATAAAATATTGTCTACTCTCAAAATAATGACAAAGGTATTAACTTTAAACTTGTTTATTGGTTATGTACCAAGTCCATAAGTTAAAAATGTGCCCCTGTTTCATAGCTTTTTTTTCCTTTTCACATTTTGATCTCATAATTTGAAAAATTGTTTAAAAAGATTCATCAAGTTCTAAAAAGTCACATTTGTTGAATTAGGGTCATCAGGGTGCTCTTTTCCTCTTTTTCCAATAACTAAAGTGAGCAATTAGGCCCATTTGGGTCTCTTGTTAAATTACATTGCTGATAGAAGACTTTGCTTTCCATAATAGAATATACTTTCTGTTCAAATAGTTGAATTTGTTATTATCTGGTAAACAGTGTAACATTTGTTTCAAGATTCTTATGTTTGTAATAATAAGTTGACAATATTAGATCTCTGGTAGATTTATTTTGTCTCGGTCAATTAAGTATGTGACTGCCAGAGTAGTGTCCAAGCTTATATACTGGTATCTGCCAAATACCTTGATAGATAGTCTTTAATTTCTACTTCGAATAATTTATTAGATTTATGTCACTCTTACTTTGTGTCTTAATTTGTTTTTACAACAAGGCATATTTCAAAAGTAAAGAAAATATTAAGTGGTTTGAGGCAAACATTACACATGACTTATATTTCTTACACAATAAATCTGTAGACAATACTGACTTGTCTTTGACATCAAAGTAATCGAAGAATGTATGAACCTGTTGCTAAGTATTTTGAGAAAATTGCAATATACATGTAGTTTGAGGGGAAATCTTATTTCTTAATAGCAGAATAATGGTTAATAGATGAATGTTTGTAAAAATGACACCATCTTAACATAATAAAAATAACTTATGTAATACTTGTTTGCACTTGCAAAGTTTTAGAAAATAATCATAAAATATTCATAACTTCTTAACAAAAATAATTCTGTTTTCGTGCAAAGTTTAAAAAAAAATCATAAAATATTTTTAACTTCTTATTAAATTACCTTTTGATATATTTTAGTGTTATTTTTTCAGGTGCCTTGCTGGGCCACTACATTCAGCCTGTGTATATAGAGAGCATCATTCTGGGCTCTTTATACCACAACGAACATCTAGCACGAGCTGTGTACGGACGTCTGGCAAACATGGAAGGTATTACTAAGCCTTACTGCATCAATAAACCCAACCTCAGTGGAATCAACAATCCTGAGCAAAGGCAACTTGGCAAAGCCCCAAACTTTGCTGTCAACTGGTGTGATGGAGATGAGGGCCTTGAGGTGATCAACATGACTACCGGAAAGTTGGAACAAGGAACAGAATCCAGGCTTTGTAAACGAGAAATGTTGAAACGTTTCTATGCATTACAAGGCAGAATATCAACTGTTACTGACTTGGCTAAAATTCCAAATATATCTTATGGAGAGCTCAAAGCAATGAACGTTCAATATCAGGAGATGCGAAATAAACTCGTGGAACATTTTAAGAAGTCTGGTTATGGCCAATGGGTGAAAAAGCCTGTTGAACAGGATGAGTTCTTGTATTCTACAGACCAAAGAGCATAATTCTTCATCTTCATCACGCATTGTAATGTAAACTGTACTTGAAACAAAAGATTTCAAAAGTCACTTTATGTTTGCTCTCAAGTTTGCCTTGTTTGCAACATAGCAGTTCCATTTTATTTTTTCATTAAAACAAACTTACCGAGAACTTGTATAACAAGTAGATTTTGTTGCTATATTTTAATTGACCTCATCATAATATGTCTTTTAGAGTTATGGCCACTGAAAGAGGCCTTAACTGCCATATTTTGCCTCAATTTGCATGGTAATAGTTTTATTTTAATTTTATTTCAAGCAAAAACAGATTCAGTGCCAATATATCTTTGACTGATCTCCAGGCCACGTGTTCACTTAGATTTAAGGATCAGGATTAAAATTAAAAACAAAGATGAAAAATATTCCACATTGTTTATTCTCATAGATTTACGTGAAAAAGCACGTTCATGAGATTTAGAATAAATTTATTATTATTTCACAAGATACGGGCAATTCACAATTGAATTTAATCTTAAAATTGATATGATAATTTTGATTTAATTTTTAGCCTTATGTGGTGAACTTCAGTTTTATAAAGAAATGAAAATAAAATCAGCACATTTGATTCTTATCCAGATTTTTTCTGAGTGAACTGTATGGGCCTTAATACAGCTTGTATTATAAACATATTTTACCTTTTACAATTTTTAAAAGAAAAAATGTAAGAGTCCATTTTTAGCTCGACTTTTCTATGAAAAGGGGAGCTATCCTACTCGCCCCGGCGTCGGCGTCGGCGTTGGCGTCACACCTTGGTTAAGTTTTTCGTACCACCCCACTTTATTTCAGAAGTATTACAAGTATGGCTTTGAAACTTACCATACTTGTTCACCATCATAACCTCCATCTACAGACAAGAGTACATAACTCTGTCAAGGTTTTTGACAGAATTATGGCCCTTTTTTGACTTAGAAAGTGTATTGAGCTTGGTTAAGTTTTTTGTACCACCTCACTTTATTTCAAAACCATTGGAGGTATTGCTTTGAAACTGACCATACTTGTTTACCATCACGACCTTCATCAACAGACAAGAGGACATAACTCTGTCAAGGTTTTTGACAGAATTATGCCCCTTTTTGACTTAGAAAATACATTGAATATGGGTAAAATCCACTTATTGCCTTAACCCTTTGAGATATTGCTTTGAAACTTTTAATGCTATTTCACATCATTACCCCCATCTGTACGCAAGAGAAGGTAACTCTGTCAAGGATTTGTTTTAAAAATTAAGGCCTTTTATCGACTTAGAATCTTGGTTAAGTTTTTAGTACCAGTCCACTTTTTGACTGAACTGTTTGAGATATTAATTTGAAAGTTGGAATACTTGTTTACAATCATGATTCCCAAACATGTCCAGGAGAAGGTAATTCTGTCAAAGATTTTATTTGAATTATGGCCCTTAACTGTCAATGTTTTGTATTATAGGCAAGCACTAAAAAACTTAAAAAATCTAAAAAAATTCATTCCTAACCACTTGTTCACTTTACCATAAATTATGTCATATAAACATTGCTGTAATATTCAAGGGTATCAAACAACTAGTTATTTTTCTCTTTTTGTACTTGAAATTAAAATCAGTAGTATATGCATATTTCACATTTTATCTCGCCTATTACTGCAAAAACTTTTTTTATTGGCAAGCAATAAAAAAGTCGAGCGCGCTGTCTTACGGACAGCTCTTGTTCTCAGAAAGTGTAAGCCATAAAGCTTAGATATTTGATATCAAGCATTCGGAATTCAACCAAGTTTATTTAAATACCCAAGGGGTAGGAGTAAATTGATTTTAGATAGACTGATATAGTATTTATTTATTTTCTGACTTCCTTCATGAAGTCGTGCAGGCGAGATCAAAATATTTTCCTCATTGAACAGTAATTAAAAGACATCATTTATGGCTCTCATATGTACGGAGCCCCTAAGGTGACATTCTCGACACTTTTCCCCCGGCATTTAATTCGTTTTTACGAAATATTAATTCGTAAATACGAAATATCAATTCGTTTTTACGAAATATTAATTCGTTTTTACGAAATATTATTTCGTAATTACGAAATATTAATTCGTAAAAACGAAATGTTATTTCGTAATTACGAAATATCATTTCGTTTTTACGAAATATTAATTCGTATTTACGAAATATTAATTCGTTTTTACGAAATATTATTTCGTAATTACGAAATATTATTTCGTTATTACGAAATATTAATTCGTAAAAACGAAATGTTATTTCGTAATTACGAAATATTAATTCGTTTTTACGAAATCTTATTTAAGGTCATTTTGAGCTTGATAAAGAACCTATTAATCTCACAAATGGGTCATTTACATGCCTTGATCAACTTTGCGATTATAAGCCGAATGGTTCTCAAGTTGTTATATTTATGTGAACAGGGTTTTTGAGTGAGAAGTCATTCTCTATCCAAAATGGTCTTTTTTCCCCATTGTCAAATACATGTTCCTATCAGCAATGTTTTAATGTTTGAGACAATCTTTTACGACATGTATCTTTAAAACAGAAACATGCTATATTATTCCGTTCTTTTATCATATACATTAGTAAAACTAATGGGACGAGGTGGGGGGGGGGTTGGTCCAGACTTTCACTAATCTAATCAATTTAAAATAAATATTTCCTCACAATTTATTATAAGAAATGTCCGTGTTACGATTTGAAGCACAGGACCCCCATTTTAAGTAAATTTTCCTAGCGCGTGTACCATCACGGCTGTGGCTCAACGCTATTAACATGCGATTATTTTAATTTATGTGCAATAGTGTAAAGTTAAAAAACTTGGGGAGAACAAAAATCACTATTTATATTGCATGTACATGCCTTATATTAAGTCAGGAACTTAGTTTTGAGGCCTTATTTATAACTATTACCAAAACTCTTTGAAACGCTAGAAAAAATTTAATTCGTTTTTACGAAATATTATTTCGTATTTACGTATTATTATTTCGTAATTACGAAATAACATTTCGTTTTTACGAATTAATATTTCGTAATTACGAAATAATATTTCGTAATTACGAAATAATATTTCGTAATTACGAATTAATATTTCGTAATTACGAATTAATATTTCGTAAATACGAAATAATATTTCGTAATTACGAATTAATATTTCGTAATTACGAAATAATATTTCGTAAATACGAAATAATATTTCGTAAAAACGAATTAATATTTCGTAAATACGAAATAATATTTCGTAATTACGAATTAATATTTCGTAAAAACGAAATAATATTTCGTAAAAACGAATTAATATTTCGTAAAAACGAATTAATATTTCGTAAAAACGAATTATTATTTCGTAATTACGAATTATTATTTCGTAAAAACGAATTAAATTCCGGGGAAAAAAGTGTGGAAAATGTCACCTTAGGGGCTCCGTACATATGGAATGTACCAGCGTCATCTCTCTAAAGTTGGTCATTATGATTTTCAGACCCAATGTTTGTGTTGATGATATAAATGTCAAGTTAAAATATCAGTCGCTGTGGGTGTCATTCTACATCAGTGCTGTACATCAAAGTTACAATCATCATATGAGCCGCGTCATGACAAAACCAACATAATGGGTTTGCGGCCAGCATGGATTCAGACCAGCCTGCATGATCAGGATCCATGCTGTTCGCTATCAGTTTCTCTACTTGTAAAAGAGTTGGTTAGCGAACAGCATGGATCCTGATCAGACTGCATGGATGCGCAGGCTGGTCTGGATCCATGCTAGTCGCAAACCATTATGTTGGTTTTGTCGTGACACGGCTCCTATAGTTATTATCATACCAGCTGGAAGTTGAGATAAAGAGAACTTGCTATCATGCCTGTTTTTTGCTTAAACTTCCCTGGCGAGGGATCAATTATTTTCATATAACTTCACATTTGAGAATATGTGCATATTTTGATGAATTCTTTTTACATATTTTTTTTGTGTTTTTAGTATTTTTATGTTGTTTTTGTTGAGAAAGAAGATGCAGATTCGAAAAGTGTGTTTTCCCATTTATTAGTTCTCTGGCAGTAGTTACACAAAATTTTCTTTCCTTTTTCTTCTTCTTCAGAATTCTTGTTACTTGACACTTATGATGTTAATATTAAAAGGGAAGGCCCAAATAAGTCTAAATGTAAATGTCGAGATTAATGAAACTATGGGTAGATAGATAGATGTATCAGGAAATAGTGAAAAATAAGGCTTTAATAGCAGATCCCTTGATGATTTTTGTTGAGAAAACATTATGTAAATAGATGACTTTATGAAGAATAAGCATATTTGCTTGCAAATAACAAAAATCGACAAAATTTATAAAAAAAAAAAATGATTTAAAAATGATTTAAGCTAGTTTGATGAAACTATATACATGTGAATATTACTTTTTCTTTGGTAACAAGATTTTAATAATAAATGCATGTTAGATATCGTATAAAGATCATACATTTTGTGGTGTTGTCGTGGTTATAGTATTCCCAAACAAATAGAATTTAAGTGTTAAATGGTGTTGTTTATGAGTTAGGAGACTGGGTTATAATTAGTTCACTAGTGCTCTGAGGTAATCTTTTTTTATTATTTAAACATGGCCATCATCTGTCATTGATTTTGATCTTTCTCCATATGTTCTATAAATATGTTGACAGGGTGAGCTTTTGTGATCGCTTTTCGTCCGGCGTCCGTCCGTCCGGCGTCCGTCCGTCCGTAAACTTTTACTTTAAATGACATCTCCTCATAAACCACTAAGCCAATTTCATCCAAACTTCACAGGAATGTTCCTTTGGTGGTCACCTTTAAAAATTGTTCAAAGAATTTAATTCCATGCAGAACTCTGGTTGCCATGGCAACCGAAAGAAAAAACTTTAAATATCTTCTTTTAAAAAACCATAAGGGCTAGAGCTTAGATATTTGGCATGAAACATCTTCTAGTGAGTGTCTACCAAGTTTATTCAAATAAAAGCCCTGGGGTCAAAATTGGCCCCGCCCCGGGGGGTCATTGATTTTCCCTATATGCATATAGTAAAAACTTAAAAAATCTTCTTTTAAAGAACCCAAAGAGCTAGAGCTAAGATATTTAGCATGAAACATGTTCTAATGGGTGTCTACCAAGTTTGTTCAAATAAAAGCCCTGGGGTCAAAATTGGCCCCGCCCCGGGGGTCATTGATTTTCCCTATATGCATATAGTAAAAACTTAAAAAATCTTCTTTTAAAGAACTCAAAGAGCTATGGCTAAGATATTGAGCATCAAACATGTTCTAATAGGTGTCTACCAAGTTTGTTCAAATAAAAGCCCTGGGGTCAAAATTGGCCCCGCCCCAGGGGGTCATTGATTTTCCCTATATGCATATAGTAAAAACTTAAAAGATCTTCTTTTAAAGAACCAAAAGAGTTAGAGCTAAGATATTTAGCATGAAACATGTTCTAATAAGTGTCTACCAAGTTTGTTCAAATAAAAGCCCTGGGGTCAAAATTGGCCCCGCCCCGGGGGGTCATTGATTTTCCCTATATGCATATAGTAAAAACTTAAAAAATCTTCTTTTAAAGAACTCAAAGAGCTATGGCTAAGATATTTAGCATCAAACATGTTCTTATAGGTGTCTACCAAGTTTGTTCAAATAAAAGCCCTGGGGTCAAAATTGGCACCGCCCCAGGGGTCATTGATTTTCCTTATATGTGTATAGCAAAAACTTAAAAAATCTTCTTTGAAAAAACCCAAAAAGCTAGAGTTTAGATATTAAGCATGAAACATCTTCTAGTGAGTGTCTACAAAGTTTGTTCAAATAAAAGACCTGGGGTCCAAATTGGCCCCGCCCCGGGGGTCATTGATTTTCCTTATATGTGTATAGCAAAAACTTAAAAATCTTCTTTGAAAAAACCCAAATAGCTAGAGTTTAGATATTAAGCATGAAACATCTTCTAGTAAGTGTCTACCAAGTTTTTTCAAATAAAAGAATTAGGGTCAAAACTAGCCCCGCCACAGGGGTGTCATTGTTTTTAACTATACATTTATGTGTATAGTAAAAACTTAAAAAATCTTCTTTTGAAAAACCCAATGAGCTAGAGCTTAGATGTTTAGCATGAAACATCTTCTTATGGGTGTCTACCAAGTTTGTGCAAATAAAAGCCCTTGGGTTAAATTTGCCCTGCAACGTTGGGGGGGGGGGGGGGTGTTGGTTGGGGGGCCTATATACAGGTGAGCGACCTCAGGGCCATCATGGCCCTCTTGTTTCTTCATGGGAATGATTGTATGGTTCTTCAAAGTTAAAAGTTTGAAATGTAAGCTTCCTTTTTTTTCTTTTTTAAATCTTTAATAATGTGTTTGTCATAGAAACCAATGTAGAAAACCTAGAATTAAGATATTTAGATTGTAACATTTCCTAGCAATCCCCAATGATAGCTGTTGGATTAATTTCTCTTTATTAAAAATTGACCTGATACAGGAGGTCACTAAATGTACATGTAAATGAACAGCAAAAAGCTTTTAAAAATTATCCTGATGTTTGTTTTAATGCCTTGTGTTATTCTTAAAATAATACAGGTAAGAAGATCCTTTCGTTAGAAACTATGTGGCCAAAAGATTTATTAAAGCTAATTTATTTTGTATGTAGCATTGTAAAGCGGCTATCATCAAAAGAAATTAAAGTTATAGTCTTAAAGTAAGAAAAAGCCTGTTCATGGTACCTTTC